TGAGTATTGGCACTGAGTAGTGTTTGAAATGTGTGCTAGCTGCTACCCATAACCAGCTAATGTTTTTAATCATCACTGCCTTTGTCTACACTTGGTGCTAAGTGTTTAAAAAGGCTGATAAGTAACACCACCCATCTTCCCAGTCTCAACAAGCTTATGTTCCCCAGTCAGAATGGCTATTTTTTTACACCAGTGTTGTGGACACTGCACAGGAGAAGGATCCGGCTCACACAGAATAGCAAAGGACTTTTGTCTCAGGAGTCTTGGTTTAAAACGTACTAGAGTTAGCCGCTAGGTGAAGCTCTTACAGTGGCTTCGTTAGTGTCATAGAACCATTGATTGAAACTGACAAGATAAATTAATAATAAAGAGTGTACATCCATATGGCAGATCCAACAGTTCAAACAAAGTGCACTCCCAAACCATTCCTGTGAAGCCCTACAGGCCTGGAAAATGTCAGACCAATTACACTCTCTGTAGATTATATTTTCCTTCCTCCTTTAGGAATAAAGGACCTCAAAACTGCTCTTGCTCCTGTCTGCTCTCTGTGAATGTTACAGCACCCTAGTAGGCTTTGTAAGAGTAGGAATCCAGCCCAGTGCTCTTGGCCAAAATTACTCCCTCTCCACTGCTCTATAGCAAGTCTACTAGCCAACTGCTCCAAAGGAGCTACAGGGACAGTAGATTAGCGCTAAAAGAGGGAGAAGTGGACCAGCCGCTTCTGTAGACCCAGAAGGGAGTAGAAACTTTCTGAAACCTCCACCCCTCAGGAAAATATAAAGTAGGAGGGGTCTTTGAAGGGTCTTTGTGGTGAAGCCATGGGAGAGAGCAGGTGCTGAATCGGTTCTAATAATTTGGGTAAGTTTCATATTAGCATTTGAATGATTGGGTATTTATTTGAACTGAACCCAAACCCCAAACCTCTTGAATTTCACCCATAACTAACTGTCTTTCTCTTCTCAAGACTAGAATGGGCCAGGGTACTACTGCAGGTCAAGACTTAAGTACACCAGCAGTGTTAATTAGGGGCAAGGACTCGAAAGAAAGTCCTGACCTGCAGAAACCCCCCTGTTCCAGGTTGTAATTCAAATAGCGTCCTTATTTCCTGTCACAACAACTTTCAACCTTTACTACATGTGACTAGAAGCTAACATCAAGGAAGGCGAGAGGGTGCAGTGAGAAGAGATGAAACCGAAAGGTGTGCAGGATCCATCTACAGGGCATGGCTGTCACCCCTTTACTCATCCAAGGGGCATCCAGGAGCATGGCTGCCTTTGGGCTTTGCATGACACTAACTCCTCCAATCAACAGAGCGCCCTACTCTCTGCCGGGAATAAGCAGAGGTACGATTTGATTGGCTTTGAATGCGCACCCACCTCTTTTTGCTCCCTCTGCAGACACAGCTCCTCTGTCTCTTCCATCAGCTTATCTGCAAACACACACAAACACAGGCTAAATGCAGGAAGAAAAGCAATTGATAATGCAATGGGATGTTTATGATCCTGGGGCACTGATCACACAGAGCTAGAAAATGCAGACTTCCCTCCTGCATTGCATACATCGATCTGGGAGTTTCCTAAGGCCAAAATGACTTTAATGGGATTTTCTGTTATCCTTCTCCTTCCAAATTTTTAACAAACAAACAACACTAATACTTTGCACTCCCTCTGATGTCTTCCTTCTAAGACTCTTAAAGCGTGTCAGTGAGGGAACCCTCATGTGAGGTAGGAAAATATCATTCTCTCCATAACACAGTTGGGGAAACTGAAGCACAGATGGGTTCAGTGACTTGCCCAAAGTTTTACACAGTGGCAGAGCCAAGAACAAAATCCAGGTGTCCTGACTCCCTGTCCCTTACCCGAACTAGCAGGCCACATTCTGTCCTTAAGCTAGGACTAGACTCTGGGTCATGATCTCAGCCATCTGCTACTAGCCACTCTTGTCTAGCCCTCATTTCCTTTCATGCTCGCTATTGTGCTTACTCCACCTGTTTATTCAACAAAACTTGCTCTTTCCAAGGTTGCCATTGTCTCTGTCGTGCTTATCAGCTGCTCACTACTACCAGGGATGCCACCAGCCATCCAGTGAGATGACAATAGCAGCTATATCCATTTCCATCTCTGTGGCATGACATTGTGAAGAAACTGGTCGCACTGTTATGATGCCCCAGCTAAAATTGGGTTCCTTCAGTTGTCTTGAAAAGCTCGAAGCCGCAGAGGGATTCCTGTGAATAATGAAGTATTTCAGCCCTGCCCCTTCCTAAGGTCTCCAGCTGGACATTGGCCATGCTGAAAAGAGCTCCTATTGGTTTATTAACAAGGTCAGTACCCAGAGTTCCTGCACACTTTGAGATTAACTCTCAGAGAGCATTAGTGGGACTCAGCAGAATGGGTTCAATTCCTAGTTCTGCCACTGGCCTAATGGGTGACCTTGGGCAAGTCACATCATTGTTCTGTGCCTCAGTTTCCCCATCTGTCAAATAGGGATGGTGATACTGACCTCCTGTGGAAAGCACTTTGAGATCAAAAGATTAAAAGCACTAGCTAAGAGCTAAGTATTAGTATTATTGGGCACAATGGGGTCCAGGTCTACAACTAGAGCTCCTAGATGCTACGGTAATACAAATGAATATCATCATTACTCTATTTTTTCTGAGAACCTCTACTCCTCTCCTTCCTCCCTCCTGTTCCCTCTCTCCCATCCAAAAACCAGGACCCTTCCACCATCTCCCTGTGAGCGCTGGAAGATGCTGCCAAAACCACGGCTCCCCACCCATGCTGTAGGCTGAAGAACCTATGCTGCCTGCCTCATGTGCCACACTGCTGGCAATGTGCCATTTCTTCCCTTTCTTCGAACTCCTGCCCCTGTCTTGGGAGGACCAGGTCCTGCAGGGACTGACCTTCTGATGCAATCCACCAATCCCTGTGGTTCCCAGCCTGAGGGCAGGACTGGGCACCAGTGGGGAGGGTTGGAGATGGATGATCACTCCGGAGGGGAGTGGGGGGAGTACAGACGCTCCCAATAGAAGGGAGGCAGAGCAGTATGTGTGCCTCACAGAGTCTTGACCTGATCTCCCAGTGGCCAGAAACTCTCCTGTCTCAAAGCCCTAACCACTGAGCGCTGACCAGGATGCTAATAATAAGACAGAAACCTCAGCAGTTATATTGGAACGAAGCGATCCAAAGCAAAAGCTGTCAAATAAAAGTGGCCAGGCATGACAGTACTGAATAGTCACCCTGAACACCCTGCTATGGATCAAAGATCCCTGTATATATATAGCTGCTAATTAGCGGGAAAGATGTCCTTCCTCTCCTCCCCCACATATGACTGCAACCTGGGAATGGACTAACAGTTCTTATGCTGTCCTGGGGGTTATGGAGGGGATGTTTGGCCACTAATAGTGAAAACCCACTAACCTATGACATTCAGGGGCGAGGGACAGGTCTTCCCACTAAGATCCTGTTATGTTCTTAGAGGGAGAATCTCTCTCATATTATCTATCACATTCCACCAGGGTTGCACTTCCACAAAGCTGCATAGCATTCTGCAGCCTCCCTACAGAAATTGGCAATGGTATTATACCACCTAAAGTGGGGTGGGGAGGGAATTGGGAGACTATGATGCAGGTGTCTGGAAACATCCTGGAGAAAGGGGGGTTTGGTTGAGAGAATCCTCCCATAGATCAGTCCCGGATCAGTCCATGGAGGGTTGGAGAGCAAGGCCAGGGATTAGAGCAGGGGAACGAGAATCCGGTGGTCTGGGGTCTGTTCCCAGCTCTAACAGACTCACTGTGTGTCTATGGGCAAAGTCATCAGAGTTGTTTGAAAAATGGTGGGGGGGGGATTTGTTAACTAAAAGTAATTAATAACTCCCTGTCAACACTGCTTCTGGTGCACAGGGGCCAAAGAGAATTTTTTGCACCAATTTGTTTCATCAACATTTTAACTGAAAATGTTATCGAACTGTGATGTAAATGAAAATGGTCAGTAACAATTTCCATAACTTTTAAAAATAAAAATTACAGTAAAGGTGTTGATAAAAGTATCACCCCACAATTTATGAACAAGATTTGAAATACACACCAGCTTTTCATGAAAAAAATCTTAAAGCCCACAAGCCAATTTTAGACAGTTTTCTTCCAAAACATTTTGACCAGCTCTACAAGTTATCCTCTCTGGGTCTCTGTTTATCCCTTTGGAAAATGGGGATGGTATTACTTTCCTACCTCACTTGTGGATTGTGAGACTTAATTCATTCATTATAAATAAATAAAATGTTTATAAATGGCTTTGAGATCTTAGGATTGAAAGTGCTTTAGAGCTCTAATATTGTTACTACTATTAAATCCCAGGCAATGTCCTGAGATCATCCTTGAGTACAGTGAACGCAATAATGTAAAACAGAAATATTTCTTCATCTTCAGATTTTCACAGAAAAATCAGAGAAATGTAGGGCTGAAAGGGATCTTGAGAAGTCTTCAGGTCCAGTCTCCTGTACTGAGGCAGGACCAAGTAAACCTAGACCATCCCTGACAGGTGTTTGTCCAACCTGTTCTTAGAAATTTCCAGTGTTGGGGATTCCACAACCTCCCTTGGAAGCCTATTCCAGAGCTTAACAACCCTTATAGTTAACAAGTTGTTCTTAATATGCAACTATATTAAAGGTTTATTAGCAGGAGTTGGATGACAGAGTGTAGCTCACAGCATTCATATTGATTATTATTTTACCAGGTGCCTTAGCTAAGGTGTAAGTCGTCTGAATTACCCAGAGATGCCACTAATTATCTGAAATGTACACATGCACGAGCTGAGCCATTTGCCTGCCCATTAGCCCATAATCTACCAGGCTAGAATTGCCATCATACACATTGTCACCACTAACACAGGGGTGAATTTAGATGGGGATTCAGCAATGTGAGAATAAAACCTCTGATGGAAAAAAACAACCACCCCAAAACTGTAGTCACCATAAGAAATGCCACTCCTGAGAAATTAAAACTGGCACACGAGTACCTGTGTATGCCTGGCATGCAGCTGCCTGGTGCTAACTCCCAGAGTCAGGATGCTCAAACTTTTCAAGAACAAGGGTCACATTGTCCATGGAGCCAAAGGATCACAACTGACTGGACACATGCATACTTCTAAGCAACTAAAAGAAATGTCCCGAACTCAACTCTAGTATTTGCTTTTATTTTCATCTCCCTTGATAGCTGAATAGAAATGGCTGATTGTTTGAATTAATCAGTCATAAAAACCTGCAGCTGATCAGACTGGACCTCACCAGCAGTTACAGGAAGTGGAGACCGGGTTGCTATTTAGGATTCTGCGGCCCTTGGGCACCCCTGAATCTAAAGAGTCCCCAGTACAAAAAGCTGCTCAAGCCAACCTAAATACTCCTGCTTCTCCTTGGCCAGCTGGAGCCCCTGAGCTTCCAGGCTCTCAATCATGGCTTCTCCCAGTTGAGCATTCTTCCAGGTCCTAAAGAGAGAATGAACAGAAATAAAGAGAATTGGGAAGGAAGCAGGACTGGGAATTATTGAGTGAGGAGGGAAACTTAGGCTTAAATTGTACCTACAACTTCAAACAGAGTCCCATGCATTTGATGAATTATCTTTTTTTTTAATAAAATATTATTTCTGCTAAAACGAGTTGTAAAATTTCCTGGTATACAATCAATAGAGAGAGATTTTCCCAGGTACCTGGTAGTAGGATGTGCACTGGGCCTGTCAAATTGATCCTGATGGATTGGTAAAACACCGATTAATAGATGAGGATGATGACCAATGACATCGTACTTCCTGTCTAAGACCCATCCCTTCTAGCCACTCGTACCTCCTCTGGCTCCACCCCTTTCCAACACTTTGCCCAACCACTGCCAATTTCCATTTGGGCATTAACCTGCCCCCAGCTCCTCCCCTTCTGATTTTTGTCCTCATCCCTTCAGGTATCCCATGACCAACTGGAAATCCCTTCCTGCTGGGCAATTAGCCAGTAGGATTTGATGTATGTCCTGGAGCCCTTAGCCCATAGTTGTTATTAGCACTACCTCTAGAAACAACGAAGAGCCATAACTAAACATCAAAAGAAAAGCTAAAATGTAAAGAGAGAAGGGGGTGCATTATAACAATACTTTGCATGCAGTATCTGCCAGAGGATCTCAAAGTGCTTTGCAAACATTATTAAATAAAGCCACACTATCCGCCTGATATGCATCACTGGCCACACTTTAAAGACACAGTAGGCTGTGGTACAGAGGTTAAGTGACAATCCCAAGGACTCATAATAAGTCAAAGGCAGAGCTCCAGCTTCTCAGTCCTCTGCTTCAACCACTAGAAAACATAGCCTTTTTTATACTTAAAATGCAGACCAGTTAATTATATGCACATATGAATAGCATGCCACATTTAGGAATTTCTCAGTTCTTTACCATCCCTACTAACCCATTGTGACAATCGGGATCCAGACACACCAGTGGGAGAACAGGGGATCTAAACTCCAAAAATAATCAATTAAATCAACTGCTCGTATACAATATTATTGTATTACAGAAGTGTATTGAGTAAAGTATCATAAAAACTGGTGACATGTTGGTCATGAATATCATTGTGTGATGCGTGTACAGATGGTGTGCAAAGAGTTATGTAAAGTGTTCTAGAAATATATTCCTACAATGTGTTCTGGGGGCAGATGTGATAAACAAGTTTGCCCCAGGCAAAGTTGCCTGTTGGCCTGTGTCTCCAGTGTAAACTGAGCAAGGTGATGCCAGAGACAATGGAAGTTCATTTGCATCTGAATCCACAGGAAAAGCAAATTGAGAGAAGAGTGAGGAAGGCAGGATGGCATCAGCTTCCTTGTGCACAAGCAGCAGGAGAGAAAAAACTTTACCTGGGGATACACTTCAGAAGAATACATTTCAAAGGTTCACTGGACTATGAAAAGAGGAGAGAGAACCTCTTAGCGATCCCCCCCTTAAGGAACAAAGGTGACAGCACCCTCAGATTCTGTGAACACTGGAGCCTCCTACTGGAAGTGCTGGAAATGCTGTTAGTTTGATGTAAGTGAGAAAGCTGTTTAGGCAAAAACTGTAGCTTGTTAAAGTTAAGTCTTGGAAATGAAAAAAAAATGTGTTTTGTTTTGCTCATAACCAGACTTGTCTCTTATTCTTTTGCTTAGTATGACTGAAATCTCTGTTCTTGATTAATAAACTTATTCTGAGTTTTACTAAAAACTATCTCAGTGCTGTTGTATTGAAATGAAGAGTGAGTCCTCAGCTAACCTAACTGTACTGTCACTTTGGGGGCAGAGAAGTTATTTTCTGTGAGTGTCCAGTAAGAGGGACTGGAAGCTTCAGAGAGACATCTCTGGGGAACTCGTGTTCACTGATTGGTACCTGCAAAGCAAGGTTACACTGGCAGAGTCTTGAGGAGTTTGCTGGTGGGGCAGGTGGACCAATGTGGCAGGGAGCTGACATACAGTTTAAGCTCCAGCAGAGCAGTAACACAATGGCTATGATGCTGGGCTCCCTGAAGAGAGTGTCAAACCCATATAAAGGATTGATGAATTTTGTTTTCTTGGGGAAAGATTAAGATTTATAAATATTGGGTGCAAATAGGACTTTCTAGATTGGGGCAGTTTTTCCCCCCTCCCAACTATGACTAGCTGTTTGGGCACATAGTTTGTGGAAAGAATTGTTAAAAATGTAACCAAACAGCTTTCTATAGAACAACTTCAATGAAGCCTATATTTTGTCTCTTACAAAGTTCAATTGATGTATTAATCCACTTTTCCCAGAGGTCGGACAGCTCATTCTTCTAACAGCAAATTAGAAAAGAATTAGTAAAAATGTATGGCTTGTCTATTATTTGTGCACAATTGGATTTCTTTTAAGCTAATGTGTGTCCATGATATTTTCTAAAATGCTGAGAACTTAGAAGAAAATTAATAAAAATGAACAGTTTAAGCATCCATTTATGTGCAAAATATGTCAATGTGTGCACGTGTGACACAAGAACACTTTAATGTTATGGAATGTCCTGCTTCTGGGTCTGTGCATTCTGGTTCACCAAAGAATATCATGTGAGATCTTAAATGAAAGCTGGGGTCACACTAGTCATTAATGTCATTGTGAAATGCATGTGCTGATACTATGTAAGGAGTTATAGATGTATACTGAAAATATGTTCTTAGATACTGTATCAAGGTGAGTCACCAGCAGAAACAGCGTTTCTGTCAAACAAGAGATGTTTATTCACTGCTCTTTCTGTCAGATATAAATTAAGCATTGCAAGCTAACACAATGGATGTCCATTTACATACAAAGTCAACAAAGGCATGGGAAGTCAACAGAGAAGGAGCATGCAGGAAAAACAAGCCACAGGTCGCTATACTGCCTCTGAGTACAGACAATGAACTTTGGGGAGTATAAATAGAAGTCAAAGACGACATCTCCTTATCCTGCACCTAGAAGTAAACAGACAACTTGTTTACAGTCATGAAAACAGGATCTCAGCCAACCTTGGTGGAAACACTGCAGAGAACCATGGGGATGAGATGAACTTCTTTAGACAGGAGGTCAACCTGTTAGTTAAATTTAGTCTCTAGAAAGCATGTTATGATTTTGTTTTGTATCTAACCATTTATTTCCAATATTCTTACTCACTATCATTTGAATCTTGAATCTTTGATAATAAGCTTATTTTTGTTTTCACTATAGATATATCTCAGTGCTGTGGTATTGTACAAGGAGCTGATTCTGAGTTGAATCATTCAAGCTGGTGTGTACTGTTCCCTTGGGGAAAGCAGACCGGGTATTACTAGGATTGTTCAGTGGATAAGGGGCTGAACAATACAGTGACACCAGTTAAGCACAAGCAGGTCTCCCTCACGCCAAAAGCAGGGTGGGGTAACAAGATGACTCACAGTCTTGGGTACCCAGAGAAGTAAGTGTGTGTGTGTGTGTGTGTGTGTGTGTGCGCGCGCGCAGGGCTGGCTCCAGGCACCAGCAAACCAAGCACGTGCTTGGGGCGGCACATTTTCAGAGCCGGCATTTTTTTTTGCTTGGGGCGGCAAAAGCCTAGAGCTGGCCCTGGCGACAGCAGCAGTGCATCCTGCATGGGGGGCGCCCTGGGGCCACTGCGGTTCGCATCGGGGAGCAGCGCCCGCACCTAATGGCACTCGGGCTGGGGGCCGCCCTGCGGGGTGCATGGAGCCGCCTGCAGGTGCCGCAGGGCGGCCGCCCCCCAGTGCCGCAGCCAGGGCTGGGTGAAGCAGCCCGAGCCACCCAGGGACTGCGGCAGGGCGGTCAGGAGCAGCAGCAGGGCCATAGTGGGGACCGATGCCTGGGGCGCTGCTCTGCGGGGCCCGCGTCCCACTCTCTGGGGCTCCGTTCTCTCTGGGGCTGCCCTGCCCCAGCTCCTCAGCCCTCTGCCGGGCAGTCCCCCGGCTCTGCCCTCCCAGGTATGAATGCATGTTTAGCTGGTTTAGGGGTTGTTTGCTTATGGATTTAGAAATTAGTTACATTAGACTATTTTCATAAGGGGAAAGAACTCCTGTGCACTTTGTGGCATCACCTTCAGTTAGACAAATGTTGGCTTTTATAGAATTTTGGCCCTGCTCCAACAAAGAACTTGACCACATGTTGAACATTAAGCATTAAGTCCATCCCTATTTAAACACATATGCAAAGCTTTGTTGAAGTTATAAACATGCTTAAGTGCTCTGCTAAATTGGGGTCTTAACCCTGTTTTTGTAAACCTATCTAAAGATACACTTTTCTTTTAAAGAGTTTCTTCTTTCCTGCTTTTCATTCTTCATTCTTTCTATTTATGGTGGCTATTCCTTTTCAAGAAGGCTGTGTGATAATTTGTGGCTGTAAACTTTGATTTTAAATTCTGCCACAGCACAGAGGCCCCAAATCAGGAAAGCATCCCTTTGGAGGACAACATACAAGGATGCACTTAACTGCTTTCCTGAAGCAAGGCCAAACCATGTACCTCCTTCACTTACACTGTCTAGCCCAGCAAGCCTTAGCAAGGTAAGAGCTAGGCATTATTAGTACATTTCTTCTTGGGATAGGTAGGAGACACTATTGTCATGATTATGAATTGCATTTATTTTCTAACAAAATATTACCTTGCACATCTTCTCCATTTATTATTATAACAGGGTATAATAAACAATCTGCAAACAACACTCGTATGTTTGTGACATTACATGTGTTTCCTTTCCCCAACACACACTGTTTACTTTCAAATCAGTTATAGCAGACAGCATACCTGCATGCTTTCCCTAACCATCATTGGCACTGTTAGCATTAGCCTATTTCTGGAGGAGGAAATAAAATGTATACTACAGAGTATAAATTTGCTCTCGAACAATAATTACAATTATTATTACTGCAATAGCACCTAGGGATCCTATGTGAAATCATGGTCCCATTGTGCTAGGCTCTGCACATACCTATTACACATCATACTTATTTTACTCTCAAATCGCCCATGTGAGGTATTTTAGCTACTCGTCAGCCAATCATTCCAGGGTTCCAGGCTATACACTAGTTCCTATTGGCTAACAGCTTAGGCAGGGAGCAACTTCTGGATGTTCATGGGGCAAAAAAAAGAGGTGCCTGAAGGGATAGGGAAAACTACCGGAAGGGGAAAGAGACAGAGAAGACTGCAAAGGTCAGAAAAGGACATTGCAGTGGTAGGGTCAGGAGTTGAAAGGAGTAGGCTTAGGAAAAGGCCAGTGGTCAAAAGGGACAGGACCCAGCTACGAAGGGGGATCATCTGAATTGGAATCACATGCAATGTTACAACCCTTACCTATTGATTAATCTCTTATTTATTCATGCGAATTGATTTGATAGGTACATGCACTCCCGTCTACTGTAATGGACTAGCCCATTGTTGCTCCAAATCAGTGGCAGATTCTTTAGCTGCCCTACAGATGCCAGATGGCCACTGGTGGAACCCAGAATAGATCCATGAAAATCTGCTGCCGCCGACCGGAAAGTGAAAGGGCTACAAACTAAATTGTAGTAGGAATAAGTTATTCAGGGAGAGACAGCCAAAGGCACAAAGGTCAATAAAGTACCCAATGCCCACTGAAAATCAGTTGGAGTTGAGAGCTTAACCACCCTTCATGCCTTTTAAAATCTCGCCCTTTTCGATTGATCTTACGAAGGCTTGCTTGCTATATGATCATAACTTGTGATCCCAGCCTGTAAAGTCAGCCCCTTTAGAACTAGCCTGGCTATTATTCACAGTTGACCACAGACGCTCCCAACTACTGGCGTTCGGTATATTTTTTGCTGAAAAAGGTATTTATTAATGAATATTTTTGTGACTTTTCTCTATTTTCTGACCAGATCTACTTCTAACCAACTCAAGAGAACACAGCAAAAGCAGCTCCAAAAATAATATGCATCACCTTAGTATCATGGGGATATGACCCCCACTTCCCAGACTGGTGGAGTCCTCTGAATACCTGTCAGAGCTAGAAGATCCCTGTCCTGTTTGCACCACTTCACACTCAAAAGCTTTCAAGGCCTTACATTCAATGAGGCTGCTGTCCTGGCCACAACAAAATGGAGGGAGGCTTCCCTTTGAGAAGCCATAAACTCTAGTCCTTAATTAATCAGAGGGCTTTGGGCTTAGTCATTAAGCTAGGGAATGAGAGCTCAGGACCAGAAATCAGTTCAAACACCCCCAGGTGACAGTGCATTTTAACTGAGCCACCAGACTAGCCCATCTTTCTGATATTTTAAGTGATCTATACTCCACTACATTTGTGCACTCCCCCTGCTCCAGATTTAAAGAAACAGTACACGTATTCTCACATGGTACAAACAAAGGAGTCCGGGGAGAGGATGTTACCCCACACCAGTCTCATTCTTTCCTATGTTCCTTCCTTATTTATTGTAACCCTTGTCTATCCGTGCTCCCTTACATTATTATTATGAAGTGAAAGGCTGCAATGATAAAGTATAAACCCTACAGTGCAATAAGCAGCATGCTTTTCCTCTAGGAACAAAAGGGCACTAAAATGTGGTGCCTAAATGCCTTGAACAGTGTCCTTTGAACTTTCCCTTTCATCACTGCTCAATTTACTGGCCAGTCTGCACTTTTTTCGCTGTTGCTCAGCTCCACTCCCGACCTTGCTAACACAAGTCACTTTATCTCTGTTCTCCTTCACAAACACACAGTCATCGAAAGCCATTAGGTGAACGCTGGAGCCAAATCATTCCTGCAGCGGTGGTGCATAGGGAGGCAAGACAGATGCCACAAACCTGTTTTCATCCAGCACAGCGGGTTACCCTGCTGCACACTGCTAGAAACATGCCAGCAGCCGTATCAGCTTCTACATCAAACACGAGGGGTTGGAGGAACAGAGTCGGGGCCTAGAACTTGGCTGGTTCTAGGCATGGGATGAAGCTGAAAGCACACAGGGCCTTATGCTTTTGGGAGCCCTCTGTTTGTTAGTGCCCCTCCCAGCCTGTGCCCACTGCCACCCCTACCATGTTCCCACCCCCACTCTGAAAGGTAAAGCTACCTGTCTCCGAAGCAAGAAAAGTCCCAGGGCTAAATTCAACATTGATGTAAGTGAGAGCAGCTCTATGGACTTCAATGACAATCCTCCTATTTACACTAGGGCTGAATTTGGTCCCCACATCCTCTCCAGCAGCCAAACCCTTCCACCCCCAGGCACACTATGTAGGTCACAGAGCTCTGCCTCAGGCCTGGCGTATCTTGCACCTTGTCCTGCCAAACCCGGCTCATCTCTGGTCAGTACATACAGGGATCAAACCCCTTGCCTACACTAGCACTCCTGTTAAAGTCTCCCTCCAATTTCCCTGTCCACAGTGCTGCTCTCAAGGGGTATTAACCACTGTGTCATCTATGCCTGAGCTGAGTGGTATTAGAAAACAAGGAGATAAAAACCCCAGTGGCCAATCGACACTAGCATCCCAGCTGTGGCTAGTACAAGGGGAGCTTCACTGGAGACAGGGGTGGGTGTGGACTGTGGAAGAGAAATGATGGTGGAGAGAAGCCAAAGCCAAAGAGAAACATACAAATTGGCCTCCCTTCTCGTCTTGTGCGTGAGATCTCATGGATGGTGGGCAGGACTGAGCTCAGAGTGGGGTGCCAGGCTAGGGCTGAGTTGGGCACATACTCCGTGCAGCCTTGGGCGGGGTGCTTTGTAGTGTGGTCACCACTAATAAAAAGTGAGCCTTTATAGCGCTTTTCAGTTGACTGTGGTATCCCTCCCCACCACACACACACACTTTCCTCTTCACAGAAATGAGCATTCCCCATCTGCACATGCTGATACCCAAGGATAAACTCATTTGAAGGAGAAGCCTTTTTCTAGTGGGGCTCAAAGGAATAAGTCCCGTGTAATAGCTCCCTGAAGAAAAGCTGCAAAGCACTCTTTCCTCTAAGCAACTTAGCTGATTACCAGGCTCCAGAGGTTCTGAAAGTTCCCATGTGCTTTGGGAGAGTCCCCGTCACTCAGCTCCCTTCCTAGCCCCTGCCTTTTGATATTGCTGCTAAGACCTAAGAGGAGCATGTTGGTGTGAGAGCCAGCTGCTTACTTCCTCTGCAGGCACTTAGCAGTGAGAACATGCTAGGACTAGTGGTTGCCAAACCTTAAATCTTTCAAAGGTTCCAGCCAGATAAGCAACCAAACGTCCAGATGCTTACAGCATCAGAACGCTGTAGAAGTGGGCTGGAAATCCCACGATAACAGACTCTCTCAGGGGATTTACTTTACTTCCTTATTTTCAGAGCTAAATACACCTCCCTCTGCACAGCCTGAACCTACTGGGATCTGGGCAAAAGGATCCCAAGGTCACAGATCCATTCTACAGCTGCAATTGAAGCCTCGGGGTTGAAGTAGCCCTTGTGACACCTGTGCTCCATCTCCACGGGGTAGTTTGACTGGTACATCTACATAGTCATGATTTCACCCCTAGCTCTCCTTCATCCTGCCCCCATCTCACCCAAAAGTCCTTCTCCCTGAGGCGCAGGGAGCTTCTGTGAAACATAACCCCAGAGCAGGATCTTGATCCCCACACACAGCAGAATTGCACTGTTTCCACGAAGTCCAAGGACTGAGGAGAAGGAGCAGGACAGCAGAGGCCATGTGGCATTTTATCACTCCCAGTCCTGACCACAGCCAGGGGTGTATTAGCAACACAGTGAAACATTAGTAGGATGGAGGATACTTCGTTTGAACTTTGAAACGTTTTGGTGTCTGTTGGGAGCAGAAAGCGAGGAGGTAAAAAGGATTTGACTAGCCATGGAGGAGCGTCTCAGCTCTTCCACACTGTCACTCTTGTTGGGCCTTGTTCTCAAATCCCCAGCACATCCCATGATACTTCAAAGAGAAGAAAATAATGGAAATATATCCCTGGTGCTTACACTTTTCCAGACTCCTGCAGCATCTCCAGCCACTGAGCCTGCTCAAATTCTGACTCTGCTGCCAGCACAATGTTACCCTGGAAAAGAAGAATCAAATGAGAGATGCTGATGTGAGCCATGCAGATGTGCCCACCATCATGCACAAACAACCCCCATCCCTATTCTGGTTCATAGAATCAAAGGGTCAGAAGGGACCTCAGGAGGTCATCTAGTCCAACCTGCTGCTCAAAGCAGGACCAATCTCCAGACAGATTTTTGCCCCAGATCCCTAAATGGCCCCCCTCAAGGATTGAACTCACAACCCTGGGTTTAGCAGGCCAATGCTCAAACCACTGAGCTATCCTTCCCCCCAGTGAATTCAGGTATCCGTAATACAGGAACTGCCACCACTGCAACTGGCACTAACTAGTTTCCTCCTCTTAGCCCATTCTGCTGCTTTGGTGCCATGGAGACTGTCTGGGGGGGTGTTGAGGCACACTGGGAGGGCAGTGGGCCATGGCGGGGAGGGTTGCAAAACAAAGGACAGTAATATCCAAGGCTGTCAGTCCAGCACCTTTCCCCAGCACCATGTTCATTGGCTTGAAAAGAGAAAAGTTCACGCACATGGAAATCCTCATGGGAGATCTTCATGGCAAAAGGCATGTTGGGCTCTTCTTTGGCTTCCACGATGCAGCCCGCCAGAGGTATGACGCCCTAGCGATGAACCAGAGAATTTAAATCGGTCAGTAAAACTTCAATGAGCAGCTACAAGGCATAACCATAAGCAAGTCACATCAGGAACTGGACACTGATACCTAGCCCCAGTTTTTACTGCTGGCTCTTCCCCTGTGCTGGAAGCATCACAAAGGCAGTATGCTGAGGGCCTGAGATGCAGAAGTGCCTCACATCACCCAGAGTAACTCCCTGAAGCAGACTAAAGAGAGGTGTTAACGGACATCAAAGAGAGTCTCATCCTGTCCACTTGAGCTGGGAGATTGGTGACTGGGATACATAGGCAATGGGGAACAGGAGCTGTTTTATCAGGGATGTGCAGATCTTCCCAATAGTCTAAAATTTCTACTGGAGTGCATAATGACAAGAGCTAAAGTGAAGAGGGAGTGTCCTCATGTGTAGCCCCCGCACCATTTCCCTACATGGTTCTGTTTCCCACATACATAATGTGCCCACAGCTAGTGTGTCACTGCTACCCAGTGCCGGATGGAATCAGATCTGATCAAGTGCATGTGATGTTGTCCTGAAGAGGCTGGAGATCCACAGAGAATAAGAGACTGACTAATACCACTAACAGAAATACACATTCTGCTTCAGCTTGGGTGATAAAGCCCAGGAAGCTGAAAGATCCTGAGTCCTCTTCCCTATGCTGCAGGTGTGTGGTTTAGTGGGCTGCTAATGGTATCCACGTATGTGACTATGGATTAATTACAAATAATGATGATGAGTAAAGCAATAAACTCCCAGATTAGCAGGCTAGCCTCACAGTGGTTATTCAAGTGGCTGCAGGATCGATGGTATGATTAGGAAATTGCTAAAACAAGGCAGGGTATAAATCCAGTATCATGATGTTAGATTTATACCCTGCCAAGCAGCTGGTGTGGTAGTGGGGAACCTGAATTAATTTCAGTTTTCAGAAGAGGTTAATCCATGTCTCCACACTTCTTGGAGGTTCCTCTGGATCTAATTACAAGGCTGGAGTCAGAGAACCTGCCTGTTTTGCTCTCAAGGTACCTGCAAGAGGCCAGGTGGAGTCAGAGAGGGAATAGCTGGGGGATGCTCACCTTGGGATGGATATTGAAGTACTTATTGCTTTCAAAGCTCTTCTTTTCACTCTCAGAATAGTAAAGCAGAAAACTCTCCTTGATGATGAAGAACCTGAAAGGGGGAAGAGAAGGAAAGCAATAAACTCCTACTAACATTTATCCTTTAAAAAGCACTTACTTCATCAGAGCACTGAATGAACATTTACCTAATAACTGAACCTCATTTACCCTACAACAGCTCTCTGAGCTGGGAGGTTTTATTATTCCCATTCTGTACATGGAAAAACCTAGGCAAAGAGAGGTTAAGTGACTTGCTCCAGGTCACTAGGTGACTCAAACTTATGCTTGGCATAAGTGGGTGGACCACTGTCACAGACAATAGAATTGTAGTAGCATATGCCAGTGGTGAAGTTGGCCCAGTGAATCAGCATTACAGGTGGGATTAGAACTTCAAAATTCCTTGTGCCCTGTCCTGTGCTCACTCCACTAAAGAATGGAAGACAGTTTCCAGGAATTACTTAACAAAGATCCTGGCAAAGTTGTCATTCTTTGTCATCTGGAAATACAAAGGAAATAAAATTCTCTGAAATATGTATCACATTAACTCTTTCTTGCCCTGTTTGGTTAGGTTTAGCTATACCCAGATGAACATGGTATGATAGCTGCAAAACATCATAGCTTCTGTAAAGGAAAAATCAGGCCTCCCTGATCTATTAGAATTCTTTGAGCATTGCCTCAAAATTGTGAATGAAGGTGCACTTGTAATTTTTTTGGACTTTCAAAATGCTGTTGACAAAAGCCTCCCTCTATTTAGGAATCCATGAGTTAAGAGATAAGGTACTGGCTAAGAAACAAAACACAAAGGGCAGGGTTAAATGGTCAATTTTCAACATGGTAAAACATGGGCCCAACATTTCATACCGGGGGAGAAATTATGATGATTTATACCAGCTGAGGATCTGGTCTTAGGACTGGTGTTCTGCAGTACATTTATCAATAAGCTGCAAAAAAGGGACGAACAGTGAAGTGGCAAAAATTGCAACACAACATTATGTAGATTAGTCAAATCTAGAGAAAACTGTGAGGAAATTCAAGGGACCTGCCAAAGTTAAGTGAAAAGACAACATGATAGCAGATGGAATCCAGTGTTGAAAAACATGATAAGCAATACTCATTGTAAGGAATAATTAATTTCCATATGAGCAGTTCAAATTTAAATGTAACTACTTAGGAAAGAGACTGGTAGAGGTGATTGGAAGGGGAGGGGAGAAGTGTCATTGTGGATGGCTCAATAAAACCCTCTGATCAATGTGTCGCAACAGTCACAACACAGCAATAGCAAAATCCCTAGTGGACTTAATGGCAGCGCTAGCATTTTTCCTTTGGGGGGGGAAAATCCCCTCTGACTGGGTATTTTTTGTTTGTTTTATTCGGTGGGTTAGTTGATTTGTTTGTTACAGGGCTTTATTTATGTTTAAATGTATTTTATTTCCTTTTAGCATTTTTGTTAGCATATATGAAGAATGAGAGAGAAAATAATGCTGAAAGTATCAGAAGGCCCTTTTATAAAGCAATGGTACTCTCTCTGGTACACTGAGTTCTCGTCTAGCTCACATAGGACATAGCAGAAATAGAAGGGGTCCAGTGATGAAAGACATGGAAAGACTGCCATACAAAGAGCAGATTTAGTGGGGACATGACAGAGGTTTAAAAAATAATTAGTGGCACAAAGAAGGTAAGCCTTTCCTTATACAAGAACCAGAGGATCCTTGATGAACATGAAAGGCAACAAATTTAAAAATGAGAAGAGGAAGTACATTTTTACACAACACAAAACACACCTATGGAAGTCACTATCCCAAGGTCTGGAGGCCAAGAGCTTAGTAAAATTCAAAAAAGAATTAGGATAAAAAGAATGAGAAGCACTATAACCCCTCATGTGTCAGGGCATAAACCACCCACTAACAGAGCAGGGTCAGGAAGAAACTTCCCCCTGTGGGCAGGCTAATCCCATAATTATTTTTATAAATAATAATGTTTATTATAGCAGTGCCAAAGACCCATCGGGCCCCATTGTGGTAGGCGCTGTACAGACAGAGAGCAACAGACAGTCCTTGCCCTGAAGAGCTTACAATCTAAATAGTCAAGACAGACACAGGATGGAGGAAGGGGCAGGACACAAACAGAGCGAATAATGTGATGGCAGCAAATGGCATGTTAGTGCCAGGACTGATTTTATTGGGAGAGGTGCATTAGAAGGGGATCAGCTAAATGGGAAAAAAAAAAGGGAAGGGTAGGGGTGAGGGGAATGGGACAGGGAAGGAGAAGGTGAGGGGGCAGGTGTGGAGTGAAGCTGAGGGTGAAGAGACTGAGGGGTGGGGGGGAGGGTTGGAGCAAACAGCCAATCAGCACAGGGACAGAGAAAGCCCCATCAGCACCGTAGAAAGTTCTCTGAATGTCCGGAGGTTCCTGCTTTGGCCTCTTCTGCCCCTGCCAGCTGGAGTCAGGCTGGATTCTCTCTGTGGTTTTTCCCAAAAGACACATGGAGGAGGCACGCCCTGGCCACTACTGCCCTCACACTGTGTGTGGGGTCTCCCCTACACGGTTCTGTGCTAGGGGAAGGCGTGGACCCTGCTGGGCCCCATTTTACCCCCTCCCTCTAGTGTACAGAGGAGAGGAGCCTCTTAAATAAATAATAATAATAATTAGTAACTGCTTTCTTTGCACAATTCTTGCACCTTCCTCTGAAGCATCGGGTGCTGGACACTGTTTGAGACCAGACACCAGGCTAGCTGGACAACGACTCTGATCCAGAATGGCAGCTCCTATTTAACACACTGCCCACCACTGCAATGCGGACGTCTGTCAGGTGGAAGTAAGTAGCCATGTCCTAGTACAGGAGAGCCCAGCAACACAATGCAGCAGTTTAAGACACCAAGTGAACAATAATCTCCTGCCCCACTGAAATTGCAGCGAGAATTTTGAATTAGGCGGAGTGTAATTATCCAGCTTGGAATTTGGGCAGCGCTTCATCTTCTGAAAAGTGCCATGAGAGCTTTAACAATGGCCAGTGGGTCAGTGCCCTGGCTTTACACCCAAAAGTTCTGTGAACATAACAAACAGTTTGAGATGCTTGCAAAACCTCAGACTCCAGCCCCCCCTGCCCAGGAGTATATTTTGGACTGGGTGCATTTCCAGAGTCAGGCAAGGTGAAGGCAGTTTGCTGCGTCAGCAGAGCATAGTTCTTTTGATTCACATCCCCAGAGCCTCAGGCCTGGCTGGCTGCTCTGCTTTCTGTTCCCCACACAAGCACCTCAGTCCAGCAGTGTCTCTCTAGATCTAAGAGCACCACTCAGGGTAAACTCACGGCTTATTGATCATAGGGTCAAAGAAGGGTCATAGGTCATGGTAGCTCCCTCTACAACAAATCATTTGAACAGAAACTGTTGACCACTGCTTCGTTGTCATGCACCTGTTCCCCTCCCAGCAGTTACTAATTTCTCCATTTACTTCTCAGAGGAGCCTTAGCAACACCATTCCTCCAGCTGGTAAAGCGATGGCTGGCCTCATCTGTAGCCACTGTCAATGCTTTGTTGTACACTAGCTAACAGATGGCGATGTATGAGCAGAGCAGTTAGCACACAGCACCTCGGTGCTGACCTCTGAACTGTTTTCTAAAGTTGCTCATTTAATATCTTTGCTGCTCTTCTTACTGAAACTCAGGTTCTTCTCTCTCGTGCTTGGAGCGCAAGCATTTAATAGGCTACATGCAAATTAGAATTAGAAAAAACAAGGGCCTTCATTGATTGAGATTAAATTAAACTGCACAAGAAGTGGAGCGAGTAAAAAACATCTTGAAACTGGAAAATCTCAGTCCTGAGGCCAGTGAGAAATGACAAAGGGCTAAATATTTTCTCTTCCCTCAGTGTTTCTAAAGATCTCAGGCTTATCCTGGTAATGATTATTATTGTGTTATAGTTGTGCCCAAGATGTGCTAAGTGCTGGACTGCCCAGCTGGCTCACCACACGTTCGGTGGATCTTGACAACACCCTCGCAGGTGTCTCTAGAAACCTCAGGTGTATCCCATGAGTTACCTGCTGACCCATGTCAGGGACCAGGGTTTACACTAATGCCTAGGGACAGCATGGAGACCCAGAGAAGGGAGGGGTTGAGACATCCCCATGCCTCTAGCATTTTGCCATTACTGTTTCAAAAAGATCAAAGCCCATTTATCAAAGCTGAACACGGCTCTGTGTGACCCCTCCTGATGCAGTGGTTCCATTTAGGTTTCACCTCTGGGTGACGGGATTTTCCAATACATTTACACTAATGGAAAATGCATCAGCATTTACTGCTGCAGCAGCTCCAGACCTGCTGGCACCCAGGGATTCATTCTATCTCGCTAACTCTAAAGTGCCCTGTCGTGGTGCCCAGGCAGGACATCAGAAATATCCATACGGGCTGACTAGCTAGTTTTGATCCCGAAGCTCTTTGCCCCAGTCCTTTGTTCCCCTCCACTGCATGCCAGCATCCTGGCTATTTGTTTGTTTCATCCACCTGTTACCCTTGATCATTAACCCAGACTGTAAGCTCTTTAGGACAGGGGCTGCTGTCTTTTTATTACACATTTCTACAGCGTCTATCACTGAGGACTCGATGCCTGATTTGGATCTTGCACCAATTCTGCAACAAATTAAAAACTATATGTTTTTAAACAGAGCTTCTCCGGCAAGGCTTGCAACTCAAACATTGCAGCACTCTGCTAGCACATGGAAATCAGAACGTGAAACTGACTAGCCACAAATACAAAATGGAGTGGTCTATTGCGCTGAGAAAAATGCAAGCAGCAAACAGTGTAAATGGTAAAAAGTACATTAATTTTTTTAAAATTATTTCAGTTTCAACATCAGGCGTTATTTGCCACACAAGTAAGGACATTTTATTGTTAAGTATGTGCAATTCATAAGTCAGCAGAGCCCACCTCCCCCTTTAAATCCAAGCTCTATAGTGCAGTATTCTGTTTTTGGCTGCTTAGTGCTCCCAATAATCCCTATGATTTAGATTTTGCTCTGAGAAAACAGAGTTGAGTTCTGAGCAGGGCTGTGCTTCTG